TGGGAGAATAGAGATAGAATGAAGCAGAATGATGAAAAAGGGGTCCCTATGTCCTCCAGCAGTCTAAGCCTATAGCAGCAGAACTATAGAGATATACTGAAAGAACCGTTTCAGTCAATCATGTTGATCTTAACTTGGTTTGGTATGAGACATCAGTCATTTCTGCTCTGGATGCAAACAGCAGGACCTCATAAAGCAGCTGAAAGGATCCAAAGCTGAGCTCACAGCTTTGGGAAGGCGCACACACTCCCAAATTGCACGTAGGCTGGTTGTTTTTTAAGCTTAAATCCAAAACGTAGCGGCTACAGCGTTAAGGAGAAGCTCTGACATGATGATGATGGAGATCTGCCATGATCTAACCATAGTGGGTGTGGCCAGCGGGCTGAACAGACCCTCTGAAGAGGATCAGACTAAGCTGGGTTGGTTCCTCCTGGTCCAGAACGTTCCGTCTGACCACAACCTGATTTTACCTGATCATCAAACAGGTCCTCCTGCTCCTCCTTCCACATCTCCAGCTCCAGGGCAGCTTGGTACTCCAGGGTGTCTCTGGTTGTGACGGGGGCCGCTGGGGGCCCCTGAATGGTCCGTTTTGGGGCCGCTGGGTGAGAAGCAAACTGAGGGACGGTTGGACGTTCGTTCTTCAGAACAAAGGAAGCAAATGGGATCAGAACAGGTTGATTCAGGATTGTAGAAATCAGATTGTAGAAATCAGAGAGAAGCTCCCTGATGGAGTGGTACCAGAAGCGGGCCGCGGTCCCCACCTGTGAGGAGTCCGACAGCAGGACCTGCTTGGCTCTGACGAAGCCCAGGTCCTCCAGCGTCGCCTCGTAGCTCAGCTCAGCCACCGCCTCTGTGGGCCTGAAGGACAGACGTTAAGCTCTGCGGATGCCCCCCCCCCATCAGCAGCCAGAACCGCTCCTACCGCTGCGGGTGGACCACAGGGACCCGGTCCCGGTGGGTCCGTCTCCAGCTGGGCTCCCCCGGCGCTCCGGCCAGCCTGGTCTTCTCTGAGCTGAGGAGGCGCTGCAGCTGGATGGAGGCGACTCCCATCAGCTGGTCTCTGCTGGCGGAACCTCGGTCCCACAGCTCCACCACCAGGGGAACCCTAGAACAGCAAGGTTAGAGCTGCAGATCTCCATCACACAGAACCGCAGCGCTGGAGGGGGATCTCCTACCTCAGGAAGGTCTCCTGCAGCTGGTGAGGCAGCGCCGCGAAGTCGAAGGCGCAGTAGGACTGAGGCGGAGTCGCCTCCATGTTCCTCTGCAGCTCCACTGGGGGGTTGGTCATGATGGGAGCCGAGCTGCCGAAGAACTGGTACGAGTACCTGCAGAAGAACTGGTACTGGTTAGGAACTGGGAGGAGGAGCTGCGTTCAGCTGGAAAAGGTTCCGGAATGTCTTCACCTGAGCGTGGCGGCGATGGGGTGAGGCAGGGAGAGCTTCCCCAGGCTGCGCAGGTCCAGAGAGAAGCAGTAGTGATGGGCAGAGGACGGGATGGACACCTTGGGAGCGGAGACGCTGACTGATGAAGCTCCGCCCTCAGGAGGAGCTCCAGGTCCTCCACCATCGGCGTCCACAGGAGGACGCTCAGCTGCCGCGCTGTCAGACGCAGGTCTGCTGAGATCAGCTGCTGCCTGCTTCCTGTGGAGCTCCGCCTCCTCCAGAAGGCTCTCCGCTTCGCTCTCTGTACGAGAGGAAGGAGGAGGAAGAGGAGGAGAGGATTCAGGAGGATTCTGGACCGGAGACGGACTCTGAGCAGGAGGGACGCAGAGAGATGGACGTCTGCTGGGATCTTTGTTCCCCGGAGTCTGAAAAGAGACGAGACGTCTGAGAGGAAGCACAGAGGTTCTGCCCCTCCACCACCTGTTGCTGTGCACTGCCAGTCAGCAGGCTGAACTGGACAGTTCAGCCGTTGATGAATATTTCTGATCACAATCAAAGGTTTGGGAACTGAAGGAAGGTTTTTATAGAACCGGTTCAGAGACGGATGTGAGGCGTGGTGGCGGCGCCCGATGGAGCCGTCTACAGAGACCGCCGCCAACCAAACAGCCCCATTTCGTCCAGAAATATTACAATATTTACAGAAATCTTTTCAGGAGGATCTCCGGCTCATCGGGTTTATCCGGCTCTAAACTCACTGAGCTGCTGTTGGTTCAACAGTCTCTGCTGCCCCCATGTGGCTGTTCTAAGTAAGAACAGAAGGAACCGCTGCAGTCCAGTCCAGGACAGTTCTGATTGGCTGCAGCAAAGTTCTTGGTGTTTTCAGCAGAATCAGAACCAGCTGTTAGACTCAGTCTAAACATTTAAAGGATCGTCCATTCAGCCATATATGATCGATTTAAGTTCTATTTTCTGTAGTTGTTGTTCTACAAAACTATGTTTTCAGAGAACATTATACTTTTAGCATCACTATGTGGCCTATTTACTAATTTAGTGCGTAATTTTAAAAAAGTTTGAATGTCGAGAGGACCGTGGCAACCAGCGGAGCTCTGAGGTTAACTCCAGTTAGCCCGCTAACGCTTTTGAGAATGTTGAAACAGCCTGAAAAGAGCCTTTCCTGACTTTCCTGCAATGCCTCGTGGGAAAAGAACCAACAGAAATCACTTTAAGAAACTGATCTACCTGAGTTGGAGGCTCCAGGTCCGTTTGGGGCCGGGGCTCCTTCCTGTGCTCCGTTGGGGGCCGAGGCTCCTCCCTCCTCAGAGTAACGGCCACTCCGACCGTAGGCTGCTGGTCTGCAGGCAGCGGCGGTAGCTGGGAGCGTCTGGGAGGCCTCAGGACGAACGCTCCCTCCACTGTGGCGGCCTTCTCCTCCAGGTGTTCAGAACCATCAGCCAGACCAGAGAGCGGGACGTCGGTGCTGCCCAGGGAACGATCCCCATAGCACAGGTGGATCTGAGGAGAGAGCGGAGCGTCAGGACCCGAACCGCGGCGTAGCGAGGCTCGGATCTGACACTCAGACTGACCTGTAGGCAGGGCTGCTGCCACAGGAAGGCCCGGAGGAGCCGTTTGCTGCTACGAATTCGCACAGAGGCGCGCTCCGGCTCGAAGTCTGGACTCAGCAGGTTGTGGAAAGGCTCGCTGGTGATGTCATTCCCCAGGAGAGTGTAGTAGAAGAAGAAACCAGAGTCCTCCGCCAACAGTTTCTTTGTGCTGGGAATCAGCTGCAACAGAAAGTTCACGTCAGTTTCAGTTTTCAGGACCAGCGGCCCGCCCTCTGACACCCCCCACCCCTCGATCCACCCTCTCTCTGACTCCCCCCTCCACCTCCTCAATCCAACAACAAACTTATTTCAAGAAAAAATGACTCATCTAGATTTTGATTTTTTCAGTGCCCCATATTTTCTCTTATTTTACATTTCATCACTAATCTATAGTAGCTGAAAGTAGAAAACAATCATTGTCAGTCTGGAAGGAAAGAACTGCCTTCTAAGACAGACTGAGCTCTGCTATTTAACAAGGAGCCAAAAATTCTCTGCTTATTTTTATTCTTTTTATTAAGATCTGAGGACAGGAGAGGACAAATTTAACATCCTAAAAAATGACGTTTGTAGAGATTTTAGACCAAGAAAACAAGTTATTCTACTTGTAGAAAATGAACGGTTGTTGTTGACAGAAATTTAAAAGTAGTGTGGCTAACTGACTGAGTAATGTGGCTAACTGACTGAGCTAAAAGAGGCTAACCTGTTAGCTACAGCTAGCCACAGCGCTACTCAGCTCTTCCCCTTTATATCAGGGTCTACCAGTTACTTAGTTCACCAGAAACAGATTTCTTTCAGTTTTGTTATTGATCAGGTAAAACTTCATTGGTTATTAGATATGCTAACGGACGCTGCGTGATGTTATCGTTGTCTAGGCAACCACGATGTTTTACGTCATGTGGCAACGT